GCAGCCACACAGGGATCATAATCAGGAGTTTCAAGCAATTTGAATTTCTAATTGGCCGAGATGCTACTCGGCAGATAATGCACTGCTGTCTTCTGCACTTGCTTTATCTAGGTCAAGCCATTAGTTTGGCTCTTAATCTACATACATTTTTAATCTGATCTTTAATGTCCATGCTCAGCCAGCAAGGCAAGCCGATGCGCTGCCACCGACGGGGATCCTGACCTTCCTGACCATGCAGAGACGCAGAACAAGCACCAAAACCCAACGCACGTCGCCTGCTCTCACCGGCAGGAGCGCTCCCCTCCCGTCGGGTGGGACCAGCACTCGGTGCTGTCCCCGGGCCAGCCCAGCCCGCATGGCACGCAGGGCTGCAGGCGGTGGCCAGGCTGGTAGCCCGAGGCTGGGCAAGGGCTCGCCGAGCAGCACACACCCCAACACACACTCAGCTGGCACCCCAGGAATAACCACTCTGTTACCAAGAACTCTTGTCCTCAAAGAGCTGTTCCTCCTTTCCCTCCTGGTCTCTGGCTGACAGTCCTTGACATGGAGCCATCCCAGGGAGACAGAACACTGCTGTGTCCATCCCAGGCATCTTGGCTTTGGGAAGTTCCCAGACACTCTCCTGCCCCATGGGGGTGACCCAGCTCTTTGATCCCCACCCTGTCCTGCCCAGCATCCTATCCCCTGCAATCCAGGTGCTTCTTGACCTAGGATGCAAGTCCAAGCCAAGGGGAGGGGAGATGGGAGAAGCCTCCCAGTACATCCTGAGGACCAGTGGATGCTTTCGCTGCAGAAAATCCAGCAGCATCAGACGGCCAGGGTGGAAAATCCCAGCAGTTCCTCCTGCCTTGTCAGCAGCCCTGGTGTTTGCATCCTGCCTGCCAGGGGCAGGCCCAGCTGGCAGGGGTGGCCAAGGAGCAGCCACTGCTACGGGGGAGCCAACTCACGGGCTCGAAGGAACCGGGGCAGAACTATGTGCTGGCAAACAGCAGCACACTCAGGGCAGAAACTTCTGTATCCCAAAGCAACGAGCATGACCAGCCACAGAGCAGGTCCAAAACTTCAGCTCAGTGATGTTCACAGCTCAGATTTACCGCACTCCAGGAAAACTGCTCACAGTTCCCAGCTGCTTTATCATGTCAACAAGTGGAGCTGAAGAGGGACAAAACAAAAAAATGTAATATGCATTAGTAAAGGATTAAAGATGGTTCCTAAAACACCTTGAGGTGCATGCTGTGGTATGGGCAGATGGCTGCAGAGCCTGCATGGGAAGGCCATGCTGCAGGCACCCCGGAGAGTCCTGGTCTAAACCAAGTGGGGTGGGAAAGGGGAGTGCAGGGAGGTGATCCGGGGTCAGGGGACACCAGGATGATTTTCAAGCATTCAGCTCTTCTAACAAGGAAAAACAAAACAAAACACCAGAGATTTTTGTGGAAAACACAGCTCTTCGGACAAAATGAAATCACTTGGTTCAAAATGCAGTTTTCCATCAACAACCTGAAAGGCACTTCCAGCTCGCTGCAGCTACAGGATGAAAGCTGGAGATAAGAGCAACTACTCGATGCCCAAGTGAAGGCGGCTCCTCCAGGGCCAGGCGGCTGCAGCAGATCCCCCTGCT